GCTAATCAAAGAACCACCAAGTGTGAATGTAGCCTAATGTTAACTCATGGATGCCATGTATTCTACCGTGCAGGCATGTATGGGCAGCGTAGAATTTTACTTGAACTAAATTATACCGAAAAAAATGGCTGTGCGTATGAGTGTGGTAGCATTTATTTATTTTTATTATTTTTCATTTGTGCTTCCATCCGCATATTTTGTCAGTAGCAGTAAAATATGTGGTTATGCACTTGAGTATGTGACGTGAACCTGCTTATCGACATTTGGAGACTTATGTATCTTGGTTTACATCGGCACTCAACAATCCCACTTCCCACCGGTAAAGGTTTGCATATCATTGGGCGCCTTTGCTGTTAAAAAACAAGGTGCCACCTAAGAAATACTTTAGCAAGCATAGTATCTTAACATTTTTGTGGTACATAGTGATTTTGCATTGTTTCCCATGTAAAATAACCAATTAACATTTTGTGGTACCCAGTGACTTTGGATTGGTTTTACATGTAAATACCCAATTAACATTTTGTGGTACCCAGTGACTTTGCATTGGTTTTACATGTATGACATCCAATTGTGTGTGCAATTAAATTTATTGGCCCGTAGTCATAGTCAAAATAAAGTCGACTTTAAAGTTAGTTGCAGCTTTTTGACATAATTTTCAATGGGATATCTGTCAAAAAAGCTGCAACTAACTTTAAAGTCGACTTTATTTTGACTATGACTACGGGCCATTGTCTACAAACGGTTACCATGCAAAGCTAGCAGGAGCTAGTTATGGTTAGTGTTAATTGTCCGTAAAGAAACATAGCTATTATCCAATGTGAATGGTGAATGGCAGTATGACCATTCCTGATGTGGAACGTAATCACATACATACAATGCATAAATGTCATTGTCTAAAATTTACTACCACGCGGCCATTACATAAGTTTGCTGAAACGGTTGGGTGAGTATGGATGCGAAATTTCATGCTTTTGTTCTTATTAATCTTTTTCGATTTTCAGAGATTTTTATTGCGGTGCAAATTTAACTTTGGACACGGATGATCTAATAAATTGAGGAAAGCCTGTTGGATCTTCGCTGAATAGAAACCGATTTTATACTTTTTGCTGAAGTAGCCGGAACGATTCTTAGCTTAAAGTTCTCGGTAGGGCAGTTTCTTGTACTTAAAATTTACTTTGGACAGCACTTGCCGACAAATGAGGCATTCATTCTGCTCGCAAAGTACACGCAAGCGGGTGGAGCACTCAGGACAGATCGGATGATCACATTAGCCAATTTAGCAGATCTCCACTTCCTTGCAACAAAGTATGCCTGCATCACGTTCGTTATCCTC